CAGGAAGCAGTTGCCACCTTGGCTCCTGGTCGGGTCTAGGAGGTGACATTCAGGCTCCGTGTGATGCTCTGGGTCTCAGTTCCCTTTTCGTTGCCATTATTGTAACTCCCCTATTTGCATAGCACAACATCAAAATGCCTCAAAACCAGAGGAAAGTGGTAGTTGCTTCTTCTCCTTTTGAAAAACAAAAAACAAACAAAAACCAATGCAGTTATCCATGCATCATCATCGCTGTTTGTGCACGGTCCGTGGGGGCCAGCCGTGCAACTGGGAGGTTACAGATCCGGCCACTGGAAAAGTTGTACAGAGCTGAACTTAATTGAGTCTGATGATCTTTAAGCCACGCTATTAAAATCCAGCGGAGAGTTATAGCCCAGCGGTAGACCCCGTTAGAGGGTCCAGCACAGCCTGTAGAAAGGATCTCCTTCCTCTCTGTTAAGTTCTCTAGGGCTTGAGGTCTCATTTACACAAAGGGCCCTTTTAGCTGTGTAAAACGGCCATGAAGTAGGTGCAAAAATGATTGATGCCTTCTTTACAACCCCCTTACACTGTGAAAACAGTGTAAAGTGGCCAGGGTGCAAATGAGAATCACACCTAGGGCTTGAGAGTAAATTACACAGAGGCCTTCATAATTTCAGTATGTCCAGAGTGGTTTAATCCTACCCTATTTTGTGGAATTTATCCAGTGAATAAATTTCGAGGACTAAAAAAAAAAAAAAAAAGTTCTTTTCTTCAACACCTCCTCACTTTCTAGACTGCAGGTCCCAACCTTTCTTGAAGAGAAGTCCATGTGAGTTCCAGCACTGAAACAAGATTGCTGCTATCTGAATATGCTGTGGTAGATGAAACTTCTTTAATTAAAGCTTTCCGAAATTCTTGATCTGTGCAAAATACATGTTGTAAAACCATACCCAGGAGAAAACTGGTTCCAAAAGCTACCGTATCAGTTTCCTGTTCTCCCCCTTCTGTTTTGATTTTACGCTCTTGAGATATATAGAGAGGAAATACGGAAGTTATTCTTTGCCAAATCAAAATGACCCCTATTTACTCATTAAGCAATAAAATGTCAGTAGAATATACGACGACTATTGCTTTCTTCCAGAGCAAAGGGTTAAGCTGCAATGCGCTAACTAGTGACCAAACTCTGTGGCAGTGTTTAAAAGCAGAGGGTGCACCGTTACTAAAACACACATTTTTCTAAGTAAGTGGAGCAGGATATTTTATTAATATCTTCCTTCTGTTCTCCGCAATTGTTTGCAGCATCGCTGTGATCACTGTTGCTGTGTTTGTAGTGCTCTAGAGGAGTCCCGGGAGGTGTGACTCCAGGAGGCAGAGGCTGAGCAAGCAGTACAAGCCCGGTCCCATCTGGTAGGGGTGGGCCTACGGGATCCAGGGCCCGAACGACTGTGGGAGACGGGGAATGAAAACATATGGGTGAGACGGAGGTCAGAGGATTAGGGAGACAAAAGTTCATCCCTGGTGGAAACGCAGCTCAGCCGGGCAGACCAGCGGCACCCGCTGTCTGCAGCCCGCGGGCGACACGGGACCTGCTGGCAAAAGGCACGAAGCAGCGTCAGGTTTTGTGCTGGGCAATCCTCGTTATTGTAAACTTGCCCTTTTAAAGTAACTCACTTCCTAAAGCTAAAATAGATCCGCAGGGCAGAGGGGTCTGTTTCCATCCCTCGCCACCGCTCTGCCTGGTCCCGGCCTTCCTCTGGTGCTAGCACGGGACACCCCGGCAGGCCGGCTTCGTTAGGGAGCGACCCGCTAAACGCGTTTCGGTGCAATTCAGGGTGCATCTGCAAATAATGGTGTGCTGTAGTCTGCAGAGTGAAACTGAGGGTGCGGTAAAGCCCAGCTTGAAACATAGGCCCTCTGTAGACTACAGCAGGGAATTTGGGAAGGGACACAGTGGGAAATGTGCCCCACTCTGCTGGCAGAGCCTTCCTCTCGCTTCTCCGGACGGCACGGTGCAGCTCCGGGTGATGGGGCAGGAGCTAGCCCCAAAACTCAGCCCTTGCTCAGCCTCCGCAGGTCCCTTTTGCACTTCTTGTTATCTTCTTTGCCAAGAGGAGGGCTCACATTTTTGGCCCATCAGAGCAGCTTTTGTGCCTGCAGGGGCTGTGCCAGGAACGGGAAGGTAATTCACTGAGGAAGGAACGAGTGTGTTGAGTATAGGTGAGAGGCACGTGTATCCTTTGCGTGCTGAAGATCTTGCCCTACCCTTCAACAGCTTCCCTGTGAGCACAGCCGGAGTCCTCTGAGGGATGAACGGCAAGCTCATATCTGCGGATACGTCATGTGGGAGGCACTCTTACGCGTACGTCTTGCATGGGAAGCTAGCTTGTCCACAAATCCATGAGCAGCGCTTCCGGCGAGCTCCTCTGACATCAACAGGAGGTGGACTGGTGTCCAGCATCGCACCCATGGCCACGCAGCCCTCGCCAAAGCCAATGACCGAATCCCACGTGCTTGGCCTCCTGCACAGGCCACCAATATCTCAGCTTGATCTGAGGATGGCTGGGGGTCAGGCTGAGGACTTCATGTGGGTGGTATCATGTGGGCAAGCGAATGGCCACTCTTGCACATGTGACCCCTGCAGCCACGGTTACTAGTGCCTATTATCTTTAGGCACAAAAAAAAGGCCATTTGGAAGCTGGTCTCAGAATCTGCATTTTGAAAAGGTCCTTGCTTAGCAGCCTGACAGAGAGCACCTTGGTGACTGAAGCTACCTCTACCCAGAAGCCCTTTCAGTGACAAAAGCATGAAGAAATACACCTAGCAGGGCTCGAGGAAGACCACAAGAGGCTTAACTATGCTGTGGTCTTCTGACCACACTCTGGGAGGACTGGGAAGACATGTGAGCCTGGGATGGAAGATACTTTTCGGGTAGGATTAGAGCAATTTATATGACTAGCTTTCTACCAGAGTAGCTTTTTGACTCACTGGTGGCTATTTTTGCTACAGAAACAGAAAGTTTGTGTTTGTTTGAAGCCTTATAGAAATTTTATTCGCTTCGTCCTTGCTAATGATTGTTGCACAATTTTTCTGGTATGTGATTGCTGTCCAACTCCACTTCGGAGGCACTTTCACCCTGGCAGAGGTCAGCAGCCCCTACTTATCGCAGGGCTCCCACACCCCTGGCCTTGCCTTTGCACAGGCATTGGCAGGCAGCACAACTTGCGACCAGTTCAGGACTGGTCTTGCATCTAGACAGTTCATCCTGTGCAAGTGGGACTGACTGTTCAAGGGACAAATCAACGTATTTGTCTCACTATAAGGCTAATAACACGTAAAGCACTTTTACAGGCACCTTTTTCAGGGTGAAAAAGCACTGTTTGGATGCAGTTTTTTATTCTGTGCTGCTAATTAAAAAATCATTATTTTCTTGCCCTCGTTATTACAAATGATGTCTTTAGGAGACCGACAGTCTCTTCTTGCTTCCCTCCCTCCGCCCCATTTTAAAAATACTTATTGTTGCAGGGATATATCTTTCAGGGCTGTTGGCCCAAATCCACTGCTGGTGTGTGAGGCTGATTGTCTTCAGAGGAGTTACACCAAAAACGAATTTGGCCTTTTGTGCTTTGAGTATAATTGGTGGAACTGGCTAGACGCCGGGTTTGGGAGCCTACAATTATAACAGTGTCAACACCATTTTTTAACGTGACTAGTGATTTAGGGGCCTCCGTTTCAGGAGCTCAGCTCAAAGTTTCTTAAATTGATCTTTGCTCACAAAGTGCTGAGCACTCGTTCTTCAGAAATCAGGCCCCTATATGGGGGTCTCAAGTGGGGCCCAACAAATCACCATTAGTCAACCTACTAATTGGTTGTTAATTAGTAATTGGATTAGGTAACCTACATCGTTAGTCACTCTCAGAAATCTTATCTATGTTTTATACTGTAGTCATCAATTTATTCACTTTTGCTGCTGGTCTGCATTTGAAGAGGTCTTGGCCTCCCTTGGTACATATCCATACAGTAAATCCCCATCAGGCTAGTGTGGATTACACCTAGAGAATCCAAGAGACAATATATTCCCTAAGCATGATCGGCTTAATTATAATTAAACAGTCGGGACCAGTTTGGACTCATCTGGTAGAAATCAGTGCAGCTTCTCTGAAGGCAAGGAACAGATTCCCACCAGCGAAGGAAGTGGCCCCTATGTCTGAATGGCTGTGGCCCTGCAGATGAGTTTCCAGTGATTTTTAAGCTCTCAGTTTGTCTATAACTATTAAAGATGCTCTTTGGTGAGTATTTGTGCAGCTGCATCTTTAGGACTTTACATGACCTCTAGATAGTCTCACAAGGGGCCTTTCGCAATAGCAGCCGCATGCGTTGCTCTTAAAATGACTGAAAAATTTATTCATTAAAAATGTGTGAATGTTTTTCCTAGTCAGCAATCTTTAGAAAGCTCATCCCTTTGTGGTGTCTGTGGTGGCAGTACGCTGACACCTTTCACTCCCTCCCCAGCCCCAGACCCTATACTTTCTGCTGCTGGCCTTCGGTAGCCGTTAATGGGTAGAACCGAACGCCCACATAAAAAACCTGGTATCTGTGCTTCCACATGACAAAGCACGCCGCCAGGCACACGATGGCTGCGATCACGTTGAGAACCATCTGCAGAAGTAAGTACAGGTGGAGCGTGCTGGTGACACTGCCGCAGTCAGCCGCGTCCTGGTAAACGAAGGTCCTGCCCAGGGGGTCCGCCGTGTCCACTTTGCACTGGCAAGACTCGAGGACGGTATCGCACGTAAACTGCGTCATCTGCAAATAATGGTGTGCAGCAAAAGCCACCGCCAGAACACAGACAACCAGACCCAGGGCACTCAGCAGAAAATACATCAGCTGAAAGAAAGCCAAAAAGAAAAAAAGAAAAAAAACCCACTCTTTTCCAGCTGCACAGAGAAGGAGGAGCACAGAACCAAAGCACGCACGTACATTTTTACAGGGAACGTGTGCATTCAATGTACTATCTGCACATAGCGCGCTTCAAAACTGCAAGCCAGCTGTAAATCCCCAGTGATGCAAAGTTCAGCCGGCTACAGCCACCCCAAGAACGGGTGTTTCTGCCTTGCATGTTTGATAGGAGCACTCCCTTGTAATTTTAAGGCCCGAAACGAACTCGGGGAAATCTCTGCCTCTGTAGCGCCAGGAGCCCTCTGGCAGGAGCAGGTTTCTCCAGCGCCATACCTGCATTGGCCGGTGTTATAATCACCAGCTGAGATAAACTAGCGTGGTTGTCCTGAGGAAGAGCTAAGCAGACTTAGGCTTGGCCTAACATATTAATTTTTCCAGCTGTTTCTGCAGCTTTGCTCATGTGCTGCTCCCAGCTCTTGGTTTGTCTGCCCAAACAAATTGGGTTTTACTTGCAGATCGGGCAGTTAGGTGTCTAATCCCTGGCTTGTGACCCGGCAAAAGCAGCTCCCCAGGTTGCCCCGCGAAATGGGAACGCGAGGCGGCCCGAGGACGCGTGGCCCAGGCTGAATCCGCTTCCAAAAACCCAGCCCGCAGACGGGAAGGAGAAGCTTTTCAAAGGCATAAAAGGGCCGCAAGCCCCTGCCGTTTCCCAGTGCTGCCCCCCGGGATGCCGTAGGGGCCGGTTTGTAACCTCCCCACCCCTTAACCCAGCGGCAGGTGGGTTAAAAAGCAAGGGTGGCTTTTATCATGTGTCGCACACGGCGTCCACCCCCCACCTCCACGGGGGGACGGGCAGTGAGTCAGAGCCTGCGCCGCTTCGGGGGGCTCTGAGGCCTTCGGAGAGCGGAGCATACGGAGTCGCCTCGCCTTGGATAGCTGCAGCTGGCAGCCTCTGCACTGCATGCAAAACAGGCGTGAAGGCATGTTAAAATCAAATTCTGTGTTTAGCCAAAATATCATTTTTGGTTCTGTGCAGCAGCGCAGAAACATTTATTTTCCTTGGCGTCTTATGTGTCGGACACGTGGCACGGCTGGGAATCTGTTATTTTAAAACAGCAGCTTTTTTCTCCCTCTCTTTCGCTCTCTCTTTTATTAACCTCAATGCCACAAGTAAACTATCAATATAAAAGCATTTTTATGACCTTGAAATGCCAAGTTTGTACGTCTTGATAAAATTCGCTGGCTTGGAGTATTTGTCTTGTATCTACAGCGTGAATCAATCTTCCCATTCAGTTGTCAGCTCGAAAAAAAATAGGTGGGCTGAAAGCAGTATATACATTTTCTCCCCCAAATAACTGCATTCTTACAGCAATCTCTTAATTTCCAAGTCTTGGCTACTGTTAAATTTAATGACTTCCCCTGCAGCCTTAAACCATGGGCAGCTTCAAAAAGAGGGTGACTTTTATTAAATGCAATTACTTTACCCCTGAAGCTTTCATGGTAAAGGTCCACGGCAGAGGTGAAATTAGAAAACAAGGACACCTACTAGTATAAAGCACACAGAAAAGGGAGAGCTGCTAATTAACAGAACCCTCTAAATAAAGATGCAGTAATTTGTAGCACTATGATAGTATTTTAAAAGATAGTGCAAAGATGTTTTATGGGGAAAATGGACCAACACTGGTGAATGTTTCTCGTCTCTGAGGGCCAAACGTTGCTGTGCGATGCCGACACAGACGCCGTTCGGGCCTCCCCAGCGGAGTGGCTGGAAGCCCCCTGGATCCAGAGCAGTAGCTGAGATATTAAGCCGACACTACATGGTGTGCCTGATTTTTCCCTAGCAGGTATTTTTTTAGCTGTCAACTTCCATCCAAAGTGCATACGAAATAGCACAAAAGGAACAGCCTATGCTACGCTTCAGGTACAGCAGCAGGCGTTGCCTGTGAGGTACCTACAAGGAAGGAAATGGCTTTGAAACGCGCAGAATACACGGGCAGCTCTTAAAGCGATCATCAGAGGCGAACAGAGGTGCATGGGGACACGGGGCAATTTCCAAATAGCTTATTATCCTCGCCAGATGTTTGCAGAGGACTCTCTTTGCAAGTAGCTGGAAACGAACACATTTCCAAATACCAGAGGTGAGGCAAATGCAAATACTGCCTGGGAAGGAGCACAAGACAGCGAGTGCTGAGATCCCGTCAGCAGATTAATCACATGCCAGGCCTAGAGGCAACTTTAACATTGCAGATACAACTGTGTGGCGAGCTCTGCCCAGGAACTAGAATTTGCCACTGGAAAAATGGGTTTTAACAGCTTCAGAGAGATAGACACTGTGATTGCTGCTTAAATCGAAGGAGAAAAAGGAAGCGGGAAGGAGCAACATATGACGAGGTCGGAGAGCGGCAGCTCATCCTCCTTCGGGTTCCTCAAAGAAGGAAAAAATGTTTTAGCAGTGCCTGCTGGCAGCAGTTTTACTGCATGCCAGAAAGAAAATAAATCATCTCAGATGGATCAAGTTCTTCAGGGAAAAGGCTCACCATAGTTACTAGCGACGAAGTCGGTGGGGTTCACAGAAATGGGTGCGGGGATCTTTGCCAAAGGTCCTGGTGGCCCAGGCTGCGAGTGGGTTATACCACGGCTGGGGCCGTGGGCCCGGCCGGCTGGACAACCAGGGACTGCCTGCCACCCTAGGGGGTGCTGTGATCAGGGCAGGGTGACATGTCCAAGATCAGTAGATAGCCCAGGAAGCACGCAGAAGAATTTAAGATATTTCTAATTTTTTTTTGACAAGAGAGAGACTCTCCCCTTTATAACGTGACGGGAGCCCGGCAGAAGAAGCTCCGTTGGATCAGCCCAAATAGGAAATTTATTATTATTAGGGGAGGCGCCACGGGTTGATGACTCCAGACGGGGACACGGGGCGGGAGAGGTGAAGAGCACGAGACTGACCGAGCTTTGTGGCACAAATGCAAAATGGAAACACTGGGGACGGGGTGTTTTGGCAGGGGGGATTCTTCAGGTGGGAAGAGCCCATGGGCTATTCACTAAGCCAGAAGCCTTTTGAGGTAGGCTTGAGCTCCACTTCTGACAGACCATGAGGAATAACCCGTTTTTGCATTGCTCGGGGAGCGCTTCTAAAATACTTATTTTCTTGCGGGAGAGGTGGCCCAGCTCCCTCGCTGCGTGGACCGGCGGTAGCGCTACGGCGAACGCTGCCGGGCTGCCCCACACGACCTGACGTGCCTGTTTGCCATCACGAGGGATGACTCCCTTCCTGTTTGAACGCCCAGCTCAATTTACTGCTGCAGGGCAAGCAATAAAAAGCCTGGCGTGGCAGCTGCCGCCCATCCCAGCAGCTCCCCCGGCAGGGCATCGTAAGGCTTCCTTGCGTGGGTAGAGGTGACGGGACAAGAAGCGAAACGCAATCAAAGTGCGGAAACAATTGCTCGCCGTCTCCCTTTCTTTTTATAAGTACAGGAGGCGCTTTATAGAGGCACAAAAGACACGCTGGGGCCTAATTTCTAAGAGAGGATGAATGCCAGCTTTTGAAGATCTATTCCTCGCATTTGCTTTCACTCTACCTTTTCCAGCTAATAATCACTGTTATTTTGGGCTGTTTGTGTTGGTATTTCTCCTGGTTATTACGTGTCTGCAAAATATCAAGAGCCCTCAAAATAATACGGCTAAGGGAAAACAACCCAGGTAAACGGTGTTAAAAACATCCCCGCAGGAACAAGCATTCTGGGCATTTCTTTTCTGGTTGCCCATCAGCGCCTGTGCAGCGCAGTACGGGGACCGAGGTAGGATGTGGTGTGTGGTTTCTCTGCCTCTCCCGCTACACTCAGAAGGGAATTTCCTCCGTGGGGGAGTGCCTGTCCCCAGGGTTTGCTGACACTCTTCCCGGGTTTGCTAACGCCCGACACAAGGCGCCGTGCTCGGAAATGGGGCTGCGGATGCTAAGGTGCCGCCTCTCCGCTCCTGACCGAGGCGGCTGGCAGGTAGTAGAGATTTCCAGCCGCACTTTTTGATTTGCCTGTGCCCATGCAGGCAGTCTTGCATTTCGTAGTGAGGAGCAAAACTGCTGAGTTGCTTTTTCGATCACATAATACCCAGAGACAGGTGCAGTAAAACTTGATTTAAATGGATCCGTTTTATCCCATACTGCTTCTTACACAGCTCTCTATGTCTCTACTTAATCAGTAACCCCCAATCTTTCAGTCAACACTTCCCAAATTATTCTAGCTCTGTTGATCTAAATATCTTTGGTAGTCTTAAAATATGGGAAGTAAAACGGTATCTTGCTCTATTTTCAAATATTTATTATTAGAATTTTCCCTTTATAGGCTGCAGTTTCTTCCTTATCTGTCTGCAAAATACCAGAAAACTATTCTTGCTTTTCGGGTGCACTCTCACTTCTTTTCATACGGTCTTAAAAATATCCCCAGCATAAACTTTTCTGATTGCATTTAATGACGTGACAGGGAAAAGAATTAAAAAAAAAAAGTCTTAGGTACCTTTACTGTGAACTGCACACATGTCTTCTCATCAGGTTGGTATGAAATACAAAGCATAACAAATCCGACTAAGGACACCACGCAGACCTGCAAGGAAGGAGATGCAAAACATGTCAAAGTTGAAAAAATATATATTTTTCAAACCCAAACTCCCTTCTATACCAGAAGAAGTATTTAAGTTAAACGTGTAAGATGGCACTATGGCTGTACGTGTAAGAACCTCATACTTTTGGATGCACTTGTGAGGAGGGAAGAGCTCTAACCCCCATTTTAGGGACACCAGGGCTAAAAAGGTCTGATGATCTTACCTGGAGGGGCTTTTTGAGTCAGACCTGCAAAGACACTATCTGGCATGACCTCCAGGATGTGTTTCTAGTTTTTGTCTGTATAATTAACTATCAAAAAGGATCAGACAGCTTATGAAGTTGGGCTTGTGAGCCCAAACAGCACCATCCTAGCTACCATTGAATGCCCACAGGGTTTTTATGCTGCCAGGGTAGGTCAGGTCGCATGACAGAAAACCAATAAACATCATGGGCTATGCATAAGAAGCAGCATAGGTTACAGCAGAGGCTTTCAACTTTTCTTTGAGCGGACACCTTAGCAGAGGTCATCTCCCCTGCAGTCTGAGACTGCATTTAACCCCGCAGCAGTAATTGCTGCTGGTGAACAATAATATAAAACTATTTATGCACACTATTATTTTTTTAGCTGCCTTTATGATCAATCTGAAGACTGTGATTTATTTGCAGGGACAGATCCTCCATGCTAAGCATTTTCCAGCCCCGTAAGAAGGGAAGCTCCTGCTCTGAGGAGTTCATGATCTAGCACAACGAATGTGTTTTCCTTTTTTAAGCAGTGCTCTCAGGATTGCCCACAGTGCTGAGCATCTCCCTGTCCCACAGTTTGAGGCAGACCTGTGAGGGGCCACGATCACCTGCCCTGTCCCTATGTCCTTGGTTTGGGGACCAGGAGGACAGGCAGCCCTGTGCGAGCCTGTGCTGGTGGTTCACCAGTGACCTCAATACGCAGCTTGGGAACCACCGCATCAGATGGTCCTCAGCAGTCCTTAACGCCTCCTGGGTCAAGTTTTTAAGAGCGCAGCCAAAGGTGTTGTGAACTCAGCTGGACCCTTCATTTGCCTCGGGCTCCGGCTCGGTTCCCAGCTGACTGGATAATTTCCATCAGTAGACTTCCTTTTTCTTTTGCCTTTTAAAATCAGGGTTGAAAATGACCTGCCTGGAATTTTTGAAGGAGCATTTTACACTGATTTATGACATTTCTGCTCTGTTGGTCAGCAGTGTAAATCTGAGTACTTCTTCCTTCAACCTCCTGATGAGCTTCTCGCACGGGCTTTGCCGGGCTCCATGCATGTCCTTGCCTTTTGGAAAGCTGGGATATTTAGCCAGCAGGCAGTGGAGCTCTGTCTAACACACCTACACTCAGTCCCGGGTCTGGCTGCACCGCCTGGGCTGGGTGGTGGGAAAAACCAGGAGATGAGCTTTGCAGGGGACCATTTGACGTGGACGGAAAAGTGCGTGTCGATAGCCTTGGTTAAACCCATTCTTCCTATAGTTTTATGAATAAAACGCCAAACTTTTCTTTATATCGACATTGTCAGTGTAAGCGGCTAGATGGTAGCCCTGTGAAGGAAGAGTGCTTTGGAAAGTATGGACAGTCATGTCTCTCAAGCACCCGTGTGATTAATAGCACTTTTCCTCATATAGTTTTATTTCATGTCATTTCGGCCTGAGAACATTTCTAAAGAAAGCGTCAGTATTATTTACTCCTTTCCATGTCATGTGTATTTATATTCTGGTCCTATGACTTACACATGGCCTCCAATTTATTTGTTTTCTTCTTTTTATTGTTGACAGCAATAGTTGACGGGGCTGTCGGGGGGAAAAAACAACCTTTCTTGTCAAAGGTCCTTCAGTACTGGTTTTTCCCCCTCTATAGCATGTCTGGGTGACTCAAACACTTTACTTCTCAGGATTAATCGCCCATGTCCTTGGTCCCTTGCACTGTGTAATAATCTTTTAATTCAATTAACATCCCCATAAAACTTAAATCTTAAGGAGATCATATCTTTAGTAATATCCAAATGATAAACTCCCTCAGTTACAGTCACGGCTGAAGTGAAGAACTCGCAGTGAGAAAGAGAAAAGCCTTAACTTTGCATGCTCAAATTCACGTGAAATCAAAGGAGCCGCTCACGTCAGAGCCAGACCTAAGCATTTTCAGGATCTGGTGCTCAAAGGATCTTGTTACGAGCAATAAATCAAATTTGCTTTGCTTCAGTTGCGCTGGTGGGCATTTGTACTTGGGTGAGCCGAGGGCCAGCTTTGCCCCCCGGTCGCTCCAGCGAGACATCACGGGACGGTGTCTGCTCACCCTCTCCCTGGTGGCAATTCCCCCCGGCCCCACACACAGCCCACGGACGGACGTTCGCCTTAAAGAGGATGCAGCTGAGTGACGATTCAGATACGATTCAGATACGAATATTTCCAGTTACAAACCGGAAATTTTTTCTCTCCCAGACGAGTGCTAGGGAAATGAGGCCTTGTGCAACTCTGGCAAAAACGCTGCTGACCTTCCGCACAGCAGGATCAGGCCTCCCTCACCAGAAAACGATACAGAAGAGTATCATTTAAAAGGATTTCCATCCTGCAGGCACTTTCTATAAAGTTCCTCTGCGATTTAAAAAACATGCTCAGAGATATTTGGGGAGCCACGTTTTGTAGGTATTTCTAAAAGATTACACGGGGTCGAGATTCCAGCAAGGCTTGGGCAGGGTATTTCAGAAGGCTTAAGTATTGCTATTATAACAATAGACCAACATTTTTTTAAAACCAGAGATGTGAAGAAGAGAGCGCCAAACGTATTTTTGTGAGCGACAGTAAAAAGCAACGCTGCTGAGGATTATGACCCATATATGTTTTACATTTCTGTTCTTTAAAGGTAAATTCCCTCACTAGAGTGAACTGGTGTGTGGAACATTTATGCAGAAAACAGCCTGTGTTTCTATATTATACATTATTAATAGATCGCTTTTGATTTATGCCTGTGAAGTGTAATAGAATAACTATAAAAATCCGTTGGTAAATATTCGTTCGGACCCCCTAAGTGACAAAGACAGTTACATTATAGCAGATGACTACAGAAGTGACTAAGACAGATGCATTACATGGCGTTACGGATGCGGCCGATGCTGACTGTTAAGCAGCGTTCGGTGCTGCTGCATTCTGGCGGTTCAATAGCCTTTGCAATAGCCCAGTGTGAAACACACGCTTCCTGTGCCTTATTGACTAAGTATACAACATAAAACACAATTGCACTGGTTTAGCGCTCCGTTGCCATCAATCAACGCGTATTTGTTACACAAATAAAATAGATTCTCTAAGAGCTGCTGAAGAACGGTTAATTAGATCAGCTCTCACAACCCTTATCTGCAAACCTAGAAATATGCACTTCTGCACTGAGTACATCTCAGTGCGAGTCTGTTTCAAGATCCTGTTTCAAAATTGTCCAGACAGACTAACACACCCTTCGCTCAATAGGTGGTGACATGAAAGGTTATCCAAGGAAAGAACTTAAATTTAGAAAAGGACCATCTAGAAAAAGACCCGACTGTGATACAACTGTATTTAGGAAGGGTACAGACTTAATTTTGCTTACTGCACACGCTGTGAAATCCTCCAGTTCCCAAGCTGGTGAAACCAGCTGTTTACCGGAGCTGGCTGAAAAATCAAAAGTTTATATTCTTGACAAGAAGCCTCAATACTATTTCTTTTTAGTGGGAAGCAGCAGATATTCCTTCCATTAGGCTGCAACATTTGAGGTCTAGAAAGTGACTCAAGAATTAATTTCGTTGTTAAGCCACAATCTAAATAGGAGTTGGTAATTTCTGGGCTCCCCCCGCCCCCCAGATAGGGCTAGCTCCTGTTGTTATGAGAACTAAGTTGCGTTCCTATAGGTTTTGACGGGAACAGCACCAGATCCCAAGCGTATGTAGGACTAGACCTTCCAGTCGATTTGGCTGGGAGGGTCCTTGCACCTGCAGGCTACAGAGCCTAGACCATAAGGGCTTTGGCCATCAGGCTCGCTCCGTACATGCATGTTGCCTAGCGGTCATAAGGAAGACGGATCTCAAGCCAGGACGCCGACACCAGAAATCCCTGCGCTGAACCG